TGATTGTCTAATTGGATTCTAATCCTTCAATTTTTTTGTATTTTGGATGAGTTTTGGGATTTGATTGACTATTCTATATATTCCAAAGAACAAAAAAAACTCAATATGTTATTCTATTTGAAGTCCTCCATCTTCCTGTAATTTTGGAATCATTTTTGGATCCTCTTTGTGGGTTTTGATTCAAAATGGCTTATGAAGAATTTGTACTTGCGAGTTGTGCGTATATCTTTCTATGTCATGAGTTTCAAGGACCAAAGAGAATGATGTAGGAATATTTTTTCATTTTTATTTTCTTTTTCTGATTTTAATTTTTTAATCAAATTTGTAATTGCTGAAATTGATTATGACGTTGCAACTAGTGGATCTAATGTGTCATTCACGTATGATAGATTAAGATACATGCAGGGTTGGAAGGTGTTTAAAAGAGTATATTCAAACAAGTTAAGTGTCTCAATGAATCTTCATGAAGTAGGAGGCCGAGATATTAAATCGATGCAAGTAGAGATGCCAACTCTATTCATTAAACACTTCACTAACAACTAGTAAAAAAGAAAAAGTGTGTTCAATTCACATCTCTACATAAAATATCGGCATACAAATATCTAAACAAGCTATAACACTCCTAAAGAATTAACACCCAATCTAATGTAAGTGCACGAGCAAAGAATAAGACTTAATCCCAACTAGATCGTCTCCTTAATAATCCTTGCTTTACTGTTATTGAATTCATAATTTCCATATTGGATATATAGTTTGATCAATCAAATGATCTGATCAACATCATTTGAATACAACATATATATANACTTGATTTAATAAGCATTGCTTTTACCAGATCCCTTCCTCCTCCTCCAAGCAAATAGGTTCACTGTTTTAATTATTGGTGCTCTGATGAGTAGTAGATGGGAACAATTTGTTGTAGGCTAAACCCACATTTGTGGTGCTAAAACCACCGTCAAGAACTAAATTTATTCCACTTACATATTTGGAATCATCACTTGCCAAATATGTTGGGATTGTAAGTATATGTTATGCTTAAAATAGCGTGAATGAGAAATGAAGGGAAATGAAATTTTTAAGTGAAATTTTAAGTTTTCCCCTTGACAAAGGGACATTGTCCCATATTGGAAGAGGAAGAGTTTTTTTATGGGTATATAAGCAATTGCTCTTCTTCTAGCTCTTAAAGAGTTGAGAAGAAGGCAAGCCTCGCGTCGTCGTCGTCGTCGCTCGCTCGGCTTCGGATTTGTTAATTGTAAAATATTAACAGAAATGTTATTAAATATTTGTTTTAATAATAGAATATTAATATTAAAATAAATATTAATATTATATCAAATCCGTTTTTCAGTTGTGTAACTGAAAATTAAACTACCCTCTTCAATTTTTCCTCTTTATTTTTCCTCTTTATTGTTGAGTAAATTGGCTATAAATACAAGTCTATTCTGCTCAGAATTTCCGTACGAATTTTCTGAGTTCTTCTCCTTTCTTCTGCATATTTTAACTTCAAAGAAAGCAACAGTAAGTGTGATTTGCTACCGAACTTTGTGTTCGCTAAAATACTGGGGTTTGAAGTACCACTACACCAGTATGTAATTCGTTCTATCATGGAAGGAAATAATCCATAACCTTGGGTACTAGCAGGGGATTAAATTCCTTAAGTTTGTTAGTAAACTGTTTATATATTATTCTGATGTAAACGAAATAACAAAAAACCAATTCGAGCCCACTGAATTCACAGTATTTACTTAAGAAAATTAATTTATTTTCTGTATTTGTACTCACTGTTTCTGGAGAGTAAAACCTTTGTGGTTTTGTACTCTATTGGAGATTAAAATCTACATGATTTTAACACTTGTGTCATTCTTTTACAGAAATGACTAATGATGATGTGAACCAAGCTGTTCCAATGGTGACTGTCAATACCTCAACAAGCCGAACAACGCCGGCAGCATTAGCACCGGTGGAGAAACCCGAAAAATTTTCCGGGATTGATTTCAAGCACTGGTAGTAAAAGATGTTCTTATATTTGACTACTCTAAGTCTCTAGAAGTTCATCAAGGAAGATGTTCTTGTGCTGTCCGATGAAACTCCAGAAACTGAATACTTTCTCGTGATTGAGGCGTGGAAACATTCAGATTTTTTGTGCAAGAATTATATTCTAAGCGGGCTGGAGGATGCTTTGTATAACATCTACAGTGGCGTGGAAACGTCAAAAGAATTGTGGACTGCACTTGAAAAGAAATACAAAACCGAAGATGTCGGGTTGAAAAAGTTCGTTGCTGCAAAGTTTTTGGACTACAAAATGGTAGATAGCAAGTTTGTTATTACTCAAGTCCAGGAATTGTAAGTGATTATTCACGATCTCCTTACTGAAGGTATAGATCAAATTAATACTGATGTTGAAAGTAGTAATCTTAGTATTTTTACTAACAAAAATTTCATTGAAGGTCTTGTCATCAATGAAGCATTCCAAGTAGCAGTGATAATTGAGAAGTTGCCTCCTTTGTGGAAGGACTTCAAAAACTACTATAACAACCCGGCCGGTCGTTTCATGAGTTACCGCTCTGTTTCCCCCATTTCTGCTTCTTATTGACTTGTTCATATGTATTTTGTGTTACCGGGTTGGTTGTTTTGGGTTCAGAGAGGTTTTGGTAAGGTTTGAGACACTTAGTCTCTTTTGAGGAAGCTTAAGTTGGAAAAGTCAATCAGATATTGACTTATGTATTAAAGGGCTCGAATGTGAGTTTCAATGGTTCAAATAGCTTCAGGAGATGATTTAGGACTTAGGAGCGTGATTGGAATGTCTTTTAGAGGTCCAAAGTAGATTTAGGCTTGAATTGGTAAAATTGGAATTTTGGCGCTTTCCAATTGATAGGTGAGATTTTGATTTAGGGGCAGGAATAGAATTCCGGAAGTTGTAGTAGGTCCATAGTGTCATTTGGGATGTCTGTGCAAAATTTCATGTCATTCGAACATGGTTTGATAGACTTTTTGATCGAAAGGGGAATTTGGAAAATTTTGGAATTCTTAGGCTTGAATCCGATGCAAATTTAGTGTTTTGATGTTGTTTTGAGCGTTCCGAAGGTTGGAACAAGTTTGAATGATGTTATGGGATATGTTGACATGTTTGGTTGAGTTCCCGAGGGCCTCAGGTGAGTTTCGAGTGGTTAAGCGAACCATTTCATGTTGTGAAAGATTGCAAAAAAATTGTTGTATATGTTGTAGACAATTGGCCTTCGCGTTCGCGAAGGGTTAGCATGTAAGGCTTAAGATTTGGCCTTCGCGTTTGCGAGGGAGGTTCTGCATTCGCGAAGGGCTAGGCCATTGAGCTACACGTTCGCGAGAAGGGGAGCCGTGTTCGCGAAGGTTGGAGTCAGGAAGCATTGCATTCGCGAGAGGCCAGACACGTTCGCAAAGGAGGAAAAATTGGTCAACTTAAGTTTGTGCTTCGCGAATGCAAGACTTTGACCGCGTTCGCGAAGAAGGATTTGAATGCCTGGGCAGAATGCTTAAATAGCCATTGTCCGTGATTTTTGGGCTAACTTTCACCATTTTTGGGCGATTTTGAAGCTTTTTGAAGAGGATTGAAGAGGGATTCAAGGGGGAACACTTGGAGATAAGATTTATGGACTTAATACTTGATCCTAATGTGATTTCTACCTAATTAATCATGGAATTTAAGCCTAATATTGAAGAACTAGGGCTTGTAATTGAAGATCTAAAATTAGGGATTTGAGGGATCATTTGAAGTTAGATTTTGGTGATTTTGATATGAATGAACTCGGAAGGTGATAAGGAGTCTATTGATGTAATTTTTATCGAAATCCGAGACGTGATCTCGGGGTCGAGTTTGGCCAATTTCGGGATTTGTGTTGTAATTTGATTTCTTTCGAGTGGGCTTTATCTCCTTAGCATGTTTTGATGATTTTTCACTGATTTTGGTTAGATTTGGAGCATCCGGAGGCCGATTCGAGAGGCAAAGGCATCGCGAGCTAGAGATTTGGACCGGATAGAGGTGAGTAATGATTGTAAATATTGTCTTAAGGGTATGAAACCCTAGATTTCACATCGTTGTGCTAGATTGAGGTTACGCACACGCTAGGTGACGAGCGTGGGGTCGTGCACCATTGGGGATTGTGACTTAGTCCATCCCAAATGACTGTTTTACCACGCATTTGATTGAAAACTGTTTGCTATCATCATATTTTGGGCTGAATAGCATATTTGGGCCTCGTGCCAACTATTTGGACCCTTATAGGATTTTTACTGATATTTTCTCACTGTTTTCACTTTATACTTGTACTCAGTCATGCTATATTCTACTGTTTTCATAACTCAGCCATGTTTACTCTATTTTAACACATTAAATGATATTCCAAATGATAATTTGAGCTGAGCATCATGTTTAACTATTGCTCCAGTGGCTTATGAGATTCTGACTGAGTAAGGTCGAGGGCCTGTATTGTGAGGATACTTTGGGTCGGGCTGCCCGCCGCAACAGTGATACACTGATTATGATTATGAGGCCGAGGGCTTGAGATTGTACGTCATGAGGTGGCTTGTTGATATGAGGCCGAGAGCCTATTGATTCTGCCACGAGATGGTTTGATATTGTGCTTGGGCCATAAGGGGCCCCTCCCGGAGTATGTACACCCCCAGTGAGCGCGGGTACCCATTGTGATATGAGATATAGTCCGAGAGGCTGGTGTTGTTCCATGATATTGCCCGAGGGGCGAATTCTGTTGACATTGTGCCTGAGGGGCGGATTTTTATGTGTTTATCTGTTCTAGCTACTTTTCATTTAATTGTTTAACTATTAAAAAGGTATTTTTAAAGAAGCTTATTCTGAACTAAGGCGTCTTTATATGTTTTCACTGTTTCATTGCTTTACTGGTTTTATACTTCTTCTTTATAGCGTGTTGACGTGAATTTATATGTTTTCTTATTGCCCAGCCTTCATTTATTGTTATTACTCACTGAGTTGGAGTACTCACTTTACTCCCTGCACCTTGTGTGTAGATTCAGGTGCTTCAGGTCCCGCTAGCGAGTGTTGATTCTTCCAGCTCAGGCGGATTCGGAGATTCACTAGGTAGCTGCTCGGCGTTCGCAGCCCAGTGCTTCTCCCTCTATCTTATTTTCTCTTGTTTTAGTTCTATAGTAGACTATGTAGACCCTTCCTATTTTTAATCAGTTAGTAGATGCTCATGACTGGTGACACCCCAATATTGGGCTATGTTTATTCTGATATTGTACTGTTTCACCTTATTTTGGGATTATTATTATGTTAAAGACTTAATTTGTATTATTTTAATTACTTAAAATGAATTGGGAATGTGTCAGTTGGCCTTGTCTTCACGAGAGGCTCCATCACGACCGGGTCTGGGTTTAGGGCCGTGACAACTACTTGAAACACAAGCGCAAGGAGATATCCTTTGAGGATCTCATTGTTCGGTTGAGAATCAAAGATGACAACAAAGCTGCTGAAAAGAGAGGCCGTGGAAACTCAAAAATAATGGGAGAAAATATTGTTGAAGAGAACAAAAAGAGGAAGAAGGCTTCTGGATCGAAATACAACCCAAGCAAGAAGCGGTTCAGTGGAAATTGCTACAATTGTGGAAAAATCGGACACAAATCTACGGAGTGTCGTGCTCCGAAGAAAGACAAGAAGAAGGGTCAAGCAAACATGGTTGAAAAGCATGATGATGTTGATAACTTATGTGCCATGCTTTCCGAATGCAACTTGGCGGGCAATCCTAAAGAGTGGTGGATTGATTCTGGAGCCACTCGCCATGTTTGTGCTATTAGAGAAGCTTTTGCTATTTATGCTCCTGTTGGACCCGATGAGACGCTTTCTATGAGAAATGCTGCAAAGGCCAAGATTGAAGGATGTGGGAAGATATTTCTCAAAATGACTTCCGGCAAAGTGGTGCCTTTGAACAACGTCCTTCATTTTCCTGAGATTAGGAAGAATTTAGTCTCTACTGGACTTCTTGTTAAAAATGGTTTTAAATGTGTTTTTGTTTCTGATAAGGTTGTAATAAGTAAGAACGAAATGTTTGTAGGAAAATGTTACCTCACTGAGGGCCTTTTCAAGCTGAATGTAATGGTTGTTGAAAATAATAATAAAATTTTAGTTTCGTCTTACTTGCTTGAGTCAAATGAATTATGGCATATACGTTTGGGTCATGTTAAATATAAGACCTTGCGGAAAATGATTAATTTGGAAGTATTGCCTAAATTTGAATGCGACAAATCAAAATATCAAATATGTGTGGAATCTAAGTATGTTAAACATCCTTATAAGTCAGTTGAAAAGAATTCAGATCCTTTAGACTTAATTCACATAGATATTTGCAATATGAAGTCAATACAATCTCGCGGTGGAAAGAAGTATTTCATAACTTTTATTGACGATAGTACTCGATATTTCTATGTTTACTTACTTAATAGTAAAAATAAAACAATAAATGCATTCAAGAAATACAAAAATGAAGTTGAAACGCAGCTTAACAAGAAATTCAAAATGATAAGAAGTGATAGGGTGGTGAATATGAATCTCCTTTTGAACAAATATGTTTAGAAGATGGAATTATTCATCAAACAACGACCCTTTACACACCCCAATCCAATGGGATTGCAGAAAGTAAGAATCGTTCATTAAAGGAGATGATGAACGCATTATTGATAAGTTCTGGTTTGCCACAGAACTTGTGGGGGAAACGTTCTTACGGCTAGCCGAATACTAAATCGAGTACCCCATAGCAAAACACAATCCATTCCATATGAAAAATGGAAAGGAAGGAAACCCAACTTGAATTATTTTAAAGTGTGCGGGTGTTTGGCAAAAGTGCAAGTTCCTAAACCCAAAAGGGTAAAAATAGGACCGAAAACCATAGATTGTGTTTTCATAGAATATGCGACTAATAGTAAAGCATATCGATTTCTAGTTCATAAATTAGAAAATCCTGACATTCATAATAATACGGTTATAGAATCAGATAATGCTGAGTTCTATGAAAATATATATCCGTATAAAAAAGGAATGTGAATTGATTGGTGAAGGATCTAAACGACCTCGGGAAGAAACAAAAGAAAGTACACTTAACCAGGAGGATCCAAGATGTAGTAAACGTCAAATAACGTCTACATCATTTGGACCAGATTTTGTGACTTTCTTATTGAAAAATGAGCCTCAAACATTTAAAGAAGCTATGTCTTCTTCAGAATCATTGTTTTGGAAAGAGGCAGTCAATAATGATATAGAATCCATACTGAACAACCATATATGGGAATTGATTGATCTTCCTCCTGGAAATAAACCGTTGGGTTCTAAATTGATCTTTAAGAGGAAAATGAAAGATGATGACAGTATTGACAAATTTAAGGCAAGACTTGTGGTCAAAGGGTATAGACAATGAGAAGGTCTTGACTATTTCGATACATACTCTCCAATTACAAGAATTACGTCCATACGAACGTTAGTACCGTTAGCTGCAGTTTATGGTCTTGAAATTCATCAAATGGATGTTAAGACAGCCTTCTTAAATGGANTGTGTTATATTTTTGTATTTCATTTGTGTGTTTAATATTTGTGTTAGCTTTTTTAATTTAATTTCATATTTAAATTATGGCACCTAAAAATGTATTTGGTATTTGTAAAAAAAGCAGTAAAAAAAATAGTAAAGGTGAAAATAGTAGTAATCCTAATCCTAACCCTTCTCCTAGACCTAGAATTAGAAAGCATATTGATGAAATGACTCATGTTGATGAAACTTCATTTCCCAACCCCCCACATTTTATGATGTTCATGTCGGAGAACAATTAGATCATGAAACTTTACAAAGACAATTTGACAATGATATTTTTTTGAGGATGAAGAAAATGAGGAAGAAGAATTAGATGAAACACCCACTAGTCCCGCAACACAAGCTCCAACTCAGAGTCAATCTCAGTCTGGAGCTTTACCCCCTATACCCTTGTAAGGGGTAAGCCTAAGGCTGAACGTCCCAAAACATCACTTGTATGAAATTTTTTTAAACATGATAAAGTCAATCATCGTGCTATATGTGAAGAATGTAAGCAAGTATTTGCACACATAACAAGTGGTGGGGCTGGGTGGTTTAAGTAGACACTTAATAAGGGATCACAAATCTTTATGGATACAAGCTAACATAGAAACCGAAAAAATTATAGATCCTACCATCAGTACTGACACTCCTAGTGGATGTGGTTCTAATCAAATTCAACAACAACTTGACCCTGCTTCTGGTCATATTTTACGCAAATATAACAAAGATAGAGATTGTGAGAACTTAGCAAAAATGGTGGCTGTCTGTGGCTTACCTTTTACTTTCCCTTCTCACCCTGCTTTTGTGCATTATATACAAGAAACTTATAACCCTGCTTTTCAAGGTTTTTCTAAGACCACGGTTAGAAATGATGTTCTTAAATTTCAAACCGAATATCTTCAGTATATTCGTTGTGTATTTTTTTCACTTAGATTGTAAAGTGTCTATCACATCTGATATAGGTCGTAGTCCTAATGGTTGTAATTATTGAACTGTTACATGTCATTGGATTGATATCACTAGAACTTGCAAAAACATATTATTGGTTATAAATTTATTGATTCAAAACATACTGGAGCATATATTGCAACTACTGTTCTACAAATACTTGATTTTTATGAACTCATTAATAAAGTTTTAACTATCACCTTAGATAATGCTTCTTCTAACACAACCGCAACAAATAGCTTAAAATCTAGACTTTGTCTAATTAATCCAACAATTTTTCATGTTAGATGTGCATGCCATATTTTTAACTTGGTTGTAAAAGATGGTCTTAATTTATTTTCTGATGCTTGTAGTAAAATACAACATGCTTGTGGCTATATTTTTCGTGCTCATAAACAAAGTAGAATTCGTGAATTTGCTCAACAATATGCTAGTGCTAGCCTTCCATTTAGAAAAGTTCCAAAAAATGTTTGTACTAGGTGGAATTCTACTTATGAAATGCTTAAAGTTGCTTATGATTATCAGGTGCCTATCCAAAAAGTATTTAATATGCATAATGCTCACCCTGTTGATCAAATTGCTGATTCTGATTGGGATGAGATTAGAGAGATTACTAAATTTTTAGAAAAAATTTATTATGCTACAAAATAATTCTTTGGTATATATTATCCTACTGTTACACAAATATTATGGTATATTTGTGGAATTTCGGTTGTATTTGGTAAGTATAAAATAAATCCAACTTATGCACCGACCATTTTTCCTTATTCCCGAAGTTTATTTAATTTCTACTCTACTTAACCCATCTTTAAAACTAAGAGGTGCAAAGGGACTTGTTCGTAAAATTTATGAGAATTTAGAAATTCAAGAAAATGAACAACTATCTCTCGAAAATTGCCAAGCTAGCATATATTCTTATGCTAGATCAATATTTGATAAATATAAATCTATGGATACAACTGGTTGCGAAACTGCTCCTTCTACTTCTAAGTCTAGAGCAGAAGTTTTATGGGAAGATATGGATGATATAACAGGTTTTGATTCCTCTATTGATGATGAACTTGATTCTTATCTTAATCAAGGATTGGAAAATATTAAAGACGAAGAAGGCAAGGAACAACTTTTGTCATGGTGGAGGGAGCGTGGCAAGGCTTTTCCAACACTTTCAATTATGGTCCGAGATATCCTGGCTATTCAAGCATCATCAGTAGCATCGGAGAGTGCTTTTAGCGCGGCAAGATTTCAAATTGGAGATCATAGACATTCATTAGCGGAGGACAGTCTAGAGATTTCCGTATTATTCAGAGATTGGATTAATGCANAGATATCCTGGCTATTCAAGCATCATCAGTAGCATCGGAGAGTGTTTTAAGCGCGTCAAGATTTCAAATTGGAGATCATGGACATTCATTAGCGGAGGACAGTCTAGAGATTTCCGTATTATTCAAAGATTGGATTAATGCAGAAAGAAGAAATCTTAGTTTTGAAAAATTAACCACTAGGGAAGAAAAAGAATACAATGAGATACTAACCACTGGGAGCGATGACGACATGGAGCTCATGGAGCATCAATCAACATTGCCAATTCCAGCAGAATGTCTGAGAGATATTATTGATAAGTTACAAAGAAGCTATACAAGAGCTTACAAATATTAGTATGATAATTTGTAATTGGCTACTAAGAGGCCTAGTTCAAACAGAACCCTTCCTAGAAGGTGGCTGCGTAGATTAGGTGCTCTTCAAAAGAATTATATTTGTATTTGAGATTTGAAAGTTCTATTAATAAAATAAAAGGCTCTAAGNNACACTTAAGGCCCACGAACCCGTCCCGTCCCATCCCGTTTGTTAGCGGGACGGGATGAGACGAACGTTTCATCCCATTTTTCCCGTGTCATTTCGTCCCGTCCCGCCACCATCCCGCTTAAATGTCGTCCTGTCCCGTCCCATCCCGTCCCGTTGGACAACCATAGTTCCAGGTAAAGAAAAAAGGTATGTAGACTTGTTAAGTCCCTTTACGGACTAAAACAAGCACCCAAACAATGGCATGCGAAATTTGACCAAACAATATTGTCAAATGGTTTTAAAATAAATGAATGTGATAAATGTATGTATATTAAAAATGTTCAAAATCACATAGTCATTGTTTGCTTATATGTGGATGATATGCTGATAATGAGTAATGACATTGCCAACATAAATGCGACTAAGCACATGCTAACTGGCAAATTTGATATGAAAGACTTGGGAGTTGCTGATTTAATTTTGGGAATTAAGATCTATAAGACTTCTCAAGCTCTGACATCGTCACAATCTCATTATATTAAGACTGTACTTGAAAAATCCAAGCACTTATGCTTTAAAGTTGCAAAGACTCCAATTGACGTGAATCTTGCATTAGCAAAGAACAAAGGCCAAAGCATATCANAAGAACAAAGGCCAAAGCAGATCATAATTGGATTATGCTCGTGCGTTGGGTTGCTTAATGTACATCATGAATTATACACGACTAGATATAACTTGTGCTATAAGAAAATTGAGTCGATATACGAGCAATCCAGGTCAATCTCATTGGATGGCCATGAAACGAGCTTTGGGGTATTTAGTACATACCTAGGACTTTGCTTTGCACTACAGTAAATATCCTGCGGTCATTGAGGAATACTATGATGCAAATTGGATCACCGGATCAACTGATTCCAAGTCCACAAGTGGATATGTATTCACTATTGATGGAGGAGAGGTATCTTGGAAATCGTCCAAACAAACTTGTATTGCCCGCTCTACAATGGAGGCTGAATTCATAGCCTTAGATAAAGCTGGTGAAGAAGCTGAATGGCTTCGGAATTTCTTGAAAGATATTCCATTTTGGCCCAAACTGTTGGCACCAATATGCATACATTGCGATAGTCAAGCGACAATTGGAAGGGCTGGGAGCGTTATGTATAACGGTAAATCTCGTCAAATACAACGAAGACATAAAACCATTAGGCAATTACTCTCTAGAGGAATTATCACGATTGATTATGTAAAGCCAAGTGATAATGTGTCGGATCCACTTACAAAAGGCCTAACTAGAGAGGTAGTGAGAAATCATCAAGGAGAATGGGGCTGTGGCCGAGAACAAGTCATAGTGGCGGTAACTCTACCTAGAAGATTAGAGATCCCAAGATCTAGGTTCAAGGAGATCAAAGAAAGTCATTAATGATGGTTCAACATTGTCAACTAAACTTTTGGTCCATTCTCGTGATGAGACAATGTTCAGTACCAAGGATAAAACATTAAAGCTTTTTAATAATTTTTAAATTTGATACGGGGTATATCAAATAGTGTATCTACGGGATGATACATTTAGGAATCACCTATGTAAGTGTGAAGTGTTCGCCGCTTCAAGGAGAACTTTGTAAGGCCAGTTCTCTACGCACTTATGAAACCAGGCGGTGTTCATGGCTGAAATAAACACAACAATGAGAACCAAAGACGGTTAAAAGTTGGTCGTGTGACTTATGGTTGCCTAGGTATACGCCAAAGTTTGACGGTTCAAAGATATCAAATCTACCGATTAACCGAGTATATCCGGCATAAGTTCACTACGGAAAGTTCAAAAGGAAACCTACTTATCTAGATGCAATTAATCCTTGCTTGCGAATCACACAGTTTTTCGTGCATATTTCTGTGATATAGACATTCCCCATTCATGTGGGAAATTGTTGGGATTGTAAGTATATGATATGCTTAAAATAGGGTGATGAGAAATGGAGGGAAATGAAATTTTAGGTTTCCCCCTTGGCAAAGGGACATTGTCCCATATTGGAAGAGGAAGATATTTTTTATGGGTATATAAGCAATTGCTCTTCTTCTAACTCTTAAAGAGTTGAGAAGAAGGCAAGCCTCGCGTCGTCGTCGTCGTCGCTCGGCTTCGGCTTCGTCTTCGGATTTGGTCAAATGATTGATTGATTAATTTTTTGGACTAAATTTATTTGTTAATAGTAAAATAGTAACAGAAATGTTATTAAATATTTATTTTAATAACAGAATATTAATATTAAAATAAATATTAATATTAAATCCAATCCATTTTTCAGTTATGTAACTGAAAATTAAACTACCCTCTTCAATTTTCTCTCTTTATTGTTGAGTAAATAGCCATTTATGTTATGACATTTATGATGTGGCCGTTTTGCATAAACAGCCATTCTGAAGAGTTGCACCTCTTCAGATTTCAGCCCAACTTTGGCTAAAAATACAAGTCTATTCTGCTCAGAATTTCCATACGAATTTTTTGAGTTCTTCTCCTTTCTTCTGCATATTTTAACTTCAAAGAAAGCAACAGTAAGTGTAATTTGCTATCGAACTTTGTGTTCGCTGAAACACTGGGGTTTGAAGTACCACTACACCAGTGTGTAATTTGTTCTATCCTAGGAGGAAATAATCCATAACCTTCGATACTAGAAGGTGATTAAATTCCTTAAGCTTGTTAGTAAATTGTTTATATATTATTCTGCTTTGTTTTTCCAGAATTAGTTTACAAATACTGTTTACTAACAAAATATAGCAGTGTTTTTGCCACCTCCTCTTCATATAATAATGCTCCTTTCAAATTTCCTGCTTCTGCAAACAATTTGTCCGCCATTTGTTTATCAGCTATTCCAAGCCCATTTAACGCAAGTGGTGTGCCAACTTAATGAGGAGAGACACAGTTAACTTTTATTCCATACTTCCCTAATTCAACTCCAATGTTCTTGGAGAGCCCCAAAACTGCACACTTTGATGTTGTATATGCGTGCGGAGTAAGACCAGAGACCACTGTCGTAGCACTTGCTGTGAATATAATGGAACCTTTCTTTACCGGAATCATCACTCTAGCAGCATGTTTAGCGCAAAAGAAGGCGCCAACAATGTTTACATCGAACACGGTCTTAATTATGTCGTAATCTACCTCTAAGATGCTGGAAATTGGCTTACCCAATACACCAGCGTTACTGAACATTATGTCGAGCTTATCAAACTTATCAATTGTTGCATCTACTGCATTTTGAACATCCGATTCAATTGCGACATTGCAATGGATAAAGATTGCCTTTTCCGTGCCAATCTCTTGTACTAAGGAAGTTCCGAGGCTGTCCTGAATGTCTGCAATTATAACTTTTGCACCATGTTGAACAAATAGCCTAGTTGTGGCCGCTCCTATGCCACTAGCTCCACCAGTTATAAATGCTACCTTACCTTCTAGCCTGCAAAAATAAGTTTAAAATAGTGTTTCCTAAGTGCAGAGGAAAAGAAGAAAATTATGAATAAGGAAAATAAAGAAAAGACAAAAAAAATATTTTTTGGCTATTGAGGATTGAAGAGAAGAGCTGGCCATTTTCTTAAACTAGAGATCAGCTCTCTGTTGTTAGTCATACGAGAGGGATTTAGAGGTTATTTATAAGAAAACAACATATATAAGCCAACGTGGGAAATCACGTCTGAGTTTGAACAGCATAAATGAGATAGAGTGTCTAGATTTCATTTGTGTGCCTTAGTTTGACCAGACACAAAATTTAAAAAATATAAAGAATAATTTTAAATCTCGTTATAAACTAAAGGTGTGTATATCATATTCAAAATATCCTTTAAATCTATTAATCTTAAATATATCACGGCATATCTATAAGGGTGTTATCAAAGATAAAAGAGATATTAAAATTACAAACTTACTAAATATGAAAAGAGATATTCTATTGAAAACATACCCAAAAAATTAAGTGTAAGATACTTAATTGAATTGGAGGGCGTATTTCTCAAACAACATGTGTGGATCTCACAATATTTCACCATTTCATTATAAGACGGTCAAATAGCATCAGGAAGGAGATATACGGCTTTAACTATGGCTACTTTTCAGAAATTATGTGGTAGCCAACGAGAATATTGATAACTAGCCGTGTGAACATGGCTAAGCATTTATAAGGGCCTGTAGGCTGTATCTAGGATGCAAGGTTTGAAATCTTCATGTCCACTTCGGTGAAGTGGCACATACTTATGTTGAAATGTCAAATATTTCAGCTTCCCACATCGGTGGGTTAGCAATAGTTGGGGGGATTT